GCGCCTTGGAGGGGGGGGCCCCCATGGCCGAGCAGATGGCCGACTAGGACTAGGATGCCACGGAACTCAGACAGCCCCCCAGACGCACAGCGGCACCAACACCAACTAGCCCACGCCGCGTCTGGGAATAGGAAGAGCCGTGTCTACGACACGCAGACCTGCCATCCCACCAAGCAGCATGACTTTTGCATGACTGCATTCGTATCGTTAGCAAAATTAGACGTCTCCGGAAATGCATGCATCGTGCGTGACTGCGAGGTCCTGCGTGTGACTGACGATCTGTCTTTGCACCTCGACCGATTAATAAAAGAAGCGGAGCGTGATGGCAGACCTGAGCCAGTTATCGCATGCTGCGCACGAGGAAGGAACAGACCCGCAGCTGCTTGCCTCAATCATCGTCGCAAGATGGCGACCTGGTTTGTGAATCTTGACCGGCCCGGCTTCAAACAAGGCACAGATACCGACGACCTGGCACATCAGATCATCGGAACGCTGTGTTCTCAGAGCTAAGAAGTTTACGTCGAGGCTTGGAGCGCAGCGAAGGAAATCCATGCAATAGAAATCTTGCAAGGTCGAGCGCCAGCTACATGGATGCCGTCCTTCGCTTGGGTGAGTTGAGGCATCTTAAGGTTGCATGGGTTTTCGACAATGCACCGCATGTTCGTACTGTCAGGAATCAAGCGGCGATCAGTCGCAGTGTCAAGCAGGAGTCGCTGGGCTGTGTTCTATGATTCGATGCATTTGCTAACACCACATGGGCTGACGTGTCATGTGCCCAGGAAGGCTGAGCTGAACCTCTCACGAGGCGCCGCGCCCCAGACATTGAAGTTCTGGCAGTTTTGGCTGCTCCTCATGGATGGCTTCTGCCTTTTTACATCTGGCCAGAATATGATACCAGCTTGCAGCAACAGGACATCCAAGACGCAATTCGAAGGTGAATTCTGCCCGGGAGTGCCCAAATCATGGCACGAGCACTACCAGGCAACCGGGAGGAAAGTTGGGGAAGCAATAAAGACGGGATCCCGGGAGTGATTCCAAACTTTGCAAAACGAGAGGGAACGTGATGGGAAGGTGGGTATGGTGCGGCGATGTGCAGTGCCAGGGATGGGGCCGATTTTGCATTCGCTGTTGGACGCTAACGCTGCATCCACAAGAAGACGTCCCTGCGGCGGTCCCCCGGAGCAGCGCCTGGTTTTAATTTTAGCAATGCAAGCGCTGAAGCGACAAAAAAGCGCAGTGTGTGTGTGTGTCAAGTGTGTGTCACAAATACGGTGCTGGCGGCGCGACTGAAAGCATGCGCCTGCAAACCAGACGAACTCCCATCCGAAGATGGGGCTCCCAGCCGGAGTCAGCCTAGAGGCAAGTCAAAGGCAGCGTGCCGCCCGTCCCTTGCAAGGACCCGTCTTGGAGGCACGAGGGGAAGCCCAGATGAATTTTCAAGCCTTGCCACGGTGGGCCAGTCCACGAAACGAGAGCCCAATGTGGCGACACTCTGGCGGATTGCTTGGTCAGATATTGGCTGGCAAAGGCCTTGCTCGGCCTGATTCTTCGCGTTGAATGTAACGTGGAAAAGATACATCTTCCGAGCGTGACCCTCCTTGGCTTGTGCAGTTGCCTACGAGAGCATGTACGGTTTGAGGACGCGGGTCATGGAGGACCTTTGCCGAAAATGAGTCCAGTCTCCACTTATTGCACTTGCGAAGAGGATGACTACAGATCTCAGGCATGAGAGGGAGACGTTTCTTGGACCCTGGTCAGATAAGTTCCACTCTAGCTTCGTCTTCACAGGTTCGCGCGTCGAGGCGGGCATCCGGTCTAGCAGTTGGCTCAGGACACATCTTGAGATTCTATTCTGGGAGTGGCTCCGCTCGAAAGCAGCCAAGCAGATGACGGCAACGCAGTTTCGAACAGAATACTACCTCAGCGAGCTTGTTCTTGACTTTCTCGGTGTTTGTTGATGCAAGAGCTCAGGTCTACGACGCGAACGGTCGTCGCTCCTCGAGGCGGTCGCTCCAATCTGCCGCAGGCTTAATGACTGCCTCACTGGTCTCCGTGCCCAAGAGTGGCAGCTGCTTTCCACACAAACATAACGTTTTAGACCACCTCTTCTGCTTCAAGGCCGATGAGGAGGAGGTGAACCGCTTGCAACTTGTTCGTTCAGCCCTCTCTGAGATCCCAGGTTTTCCCGTCAGCAGTCTTGAGCATGGCTGTTGATGCAGGAGCTCGCATCAACTGATGAAGATGAGCTGGAAGACTCCTTCCGCAAGCACCCCTGCCTCGCATTGTAGGGTATGCTCTTGTATCTGAGGTGTTCGTTGTTGTTGCATGGCCATTCTGCCTGTAGCGCAATAACACACGTAGTGTATGGTCGGCTAGTCTCCGTTCGTCAGCGGAAGGTTTGATAAATGGACGACCAGACACTTGCGAAGAAGGCCAGACCGAGTGAGTCACCAAAAGCCAGCTCTTCAGGAGCTCGCGAGAGGTGTCGGTAAGAAAGACTAGAACCGGCTAAATAGATCTTCTAGCACATCTAGCACTTTGAGATCTTGAGGTCTGATGAATCGATGGATGGCGGGATTCCACCCATAGGCCTGCCTTAAGCCCCGCAGACCCCCCTTTATCGTGTTACTAGTAGGACTACTACTGCTGCTACTGAAAGTTTTGGTTAACAGCTTTCTCAAATTGCGAAGACACCTAGTAGCAAGGCAAGCGATTCGTTCCTGCAACACTGGGTTGGAGGCAGGAGGGGTGTGCCCCAATGCACCGAACAAACGGGGGCCGCGCGCAGCCCTTAATTCTAGCCACCTAGTCTCACTAGCTTCCGTGGCCCCCTCTCAAGCTCATTGTTGTTGCGGTCAGGAAGAAGAGCAGGCCACGCTTCACATTTCCAAGCTCACCACGCCCAGGCACTTTTTTGAGACGGCACTGTACAACTTGCATAGTCTTCCTAATCGCATGTTCGATCCGCATGCACCCCACTGGCAGTCCTGGACATGAGTTTGGTGGGACTTCGCCCCTGAGCGGCAACACAGAGCATTATAGTATATTATAGTATCCAAGGAGGATAGGCTGCCAAGCAGCTGCCACCGCAAGGGGTTTGTATGGAGATTGTCGCTCCCGAACGGCAGCGGCTGAACTCTCTTTAGTTTTGATCTACATGCACGTTTGACCTGGATGCATGTAGTCTGCAATGCCATGTTGTCATGGGTTGCAGAGCTAGTGTAGAGCACCTGGCTCCAAAGGAGCCTGTTATGTTTTGGGTGTACTTATTATTTAATTTAAGTGTACAGATGCCGTTGGGATGGCACGCATGCGAAGCATGTCGTGATCCATGCTGCCTGGCGCAGATCGGCTTTGTGGAGTTGAAATCCTGCTGTGCCGTCACCTGCCGGCGGCAGCTTAGGCCTTCGGTCCCTCAAGTGTTCATGAATCGCTTGAGACTTCCTACCGGCACCGACACGTCATTGACGTTGGGCCTGAACATCGCAGCTTTGAAGATGGCAGCTTTGATTGGTCGAGCTTCAGAACTGAAACCTTGAGACGTCACAACTCATCCAACCGTGAGATCTAATCCAGCTTTCAGGACCGAATCTACCACGGCCTGACATCCCCAAACAATGGCCTCACATGCACATGGGCGAGATCAGACCGATGTCATCAGCGACGCTCGGCACTGCTCTTGGCAAGACTTTGATGACTTCAAGGCGGTAAGACGTGCAATGTTGACGGCTGTTGTGGCGTCGCCTGTCATACGAGGGCTGCGCGTGAAGAGCTTCCTCCTGGTTGGAAGCGTGTGGAATCCAGGACAAAGCCCGGATTCTTGGCAAGCGAGAAGCTACTGCAGCCACTAGCGAGACCTTGCTTCATTTTGCTACTCGCGAAGGAGGTTGTTGTAGAACCCAAGAAACTGCTGCCTGAGGGACATACTACTATGCGCACCCGGCAACCAACCGTACACAGGCCCGTATCTGCTCATGTTGTGATGCACCAGTGCGCACAGCAACAGGTGAGCCCACCACAAGGAGCGAAGCAAGTTCCGGCAGCTGCTTCCAACGGTGGTCAGAAGCAAGTTCCGACGAAGGCTACTGGCTCGTGTCGCTGTTATTGCGGCTGCTTTGGTTGGCTTTGGCATGACACAGCATGTCAACCTGCAGGAGATGGCTCAGGAAGAAAGCGCGCCGAAAGCTTCCGATGAGAAGGAAGAGCGAAAGCGGAAACATCAGCAAGTGGAAGAAGAAGCCGAAGCGGAACAGGTGTCATGCGCACGTCTATCGAGTTTAATGTCTCGATGCAACACTGGCTTGCAGGAGATGGTCGAAGAGGAGCTGAAGCGAATAAAGGCAGCCAAGAAGGTCGGCCAGCCACGTTTGGATCTGTGGAAATTTCCCAAACATACTCCCTGCGGCATGCTAGGCTAAGGAGCTAGAACAGAAGCGAAAGAAAGAGGAGGAGCGCAGATTGGAGCAGTTGCGCAAAGAGGAAGAAGCCAGGCTGGAAAAGGAGCGCTTGCAAAGAGAAGAAGAAGAGCGCAAGCGACAGCTGCCTGGCCTTTTCGTCGGAGTTTGGTGGGGTGCATGTTTAATTCATCGGATAATGGATAGGGGCCGAACGTCGCTTTTCCGAGGCAGGAGCTTGAGGCTTTGGCAGAGGAACGCCGAAGGCGAGAAGCGGAAGCCAGGAAGAAGGTGGCCCAACGCAGAGTTTCTCCTGCCCTCCCCTTCTCTTCCGACTCTCATGGCCGCTCTCCGTTACCGGTAGCAATGCAGGTGCACTGATTGGCGTAAGAAGGCTCGTGATGTCCTGCTCCAGGACTTGGAGGCGCAGCGAAGAAAGGCTACTTGCATGAACAGCCGCTGTCAATTAGGAGCGAAAGTCAAAAGTTTGTTTGTCCTTTCAGGCTTGAACGCATGCCGCGGGTTAGCGCTGCGTGCTGTTGCTGAACAGGCAATGGTCTTCGAGCAGCACTCAATCCTACAGAGGAAGCTGGCTGAGGATGCGAGAAAGCGGCAGGCTGAAGAAGAGGAGAGGCGCAAAAAAGAGGCTGAAGAGAAGCAACGAATGCAGAAGGAAGATCAGAAGGCTGACCAGAAGGATGACCAGAAGAAGGCGCTGCCTATCATCATGTGGATGGGCCATGCGCTCACTTGAGTGCCAGGTAGAGGAGCCTCCCAAAGAGGAGGACGAGGAGACCCGCAAAGAGAAGATAGCAAAAAGAGAAGCTAAGGCACCAAGCAGTCTTGAGCATGTGGCGATGACGGCCTGGTTCGGTTCGTGCAGGTTTGGAGTCAGCCGATTCCAGACCCTGCAGATCCAGTCCTTGAGCCGTGCTTTGATGTGTACAAGAATGGAAAGCTTGTGCGTACTCACCACCTGACGGGTGAGAAGACCAGCTGGATCATAGGCCAGGGTGGGCGGAAAGAGATGGGAATCCTTGGGTGTGTGAATGCTTTCCGTTCGAGCATCTGCAGCAGAGTCTCCTCTCAAGTCGACAGGTCGAGGCCCAGCAGGAGTGGACATTGCCATTGGCAACAGCCGCATCTCACGGAAGCATGCAACTGGGTTGGATTCAATACGCAGTTTATCAAACAGACGTGCGATGCGTATTTAAGGCCGAGATTTCTTGTCAGACTCCGTTGATGTTCTTGACTGACCTGGGGTCCACGTATGGTTCGGTGACTTTGCAGCAGTTGGGGAAGTCGCTTCTGTTTCGGTGCTGGGCTGTGACGGTTTTCGTGAGAGCCAAAGTGTCTGCAAGGCGATGAATGCGGAGAACCTGGAGAAGAATCAGCCAGTGGAATTGGTTGATGGTGCGAGGCGCATGGCAGCCTCTGACATCGGAAGCTGGGAAAAGCTCAAAGTTTGGATCAGGTTCCGCTTCGGGGGCTTGCCGGAGCTGTACGTCTACCGTGAACCCCCACCAGCTGACGAAGAGGTCGAGGAGCCCTCCTCGCCTCCGATCCATGCTGAGGCCAGGTGGCCTGGTGCAGGACTGGAACTGGTAAAGACCGCTGCAACAAGCCCGCAGGTGTCTGGCATGGCGACCGCAGAGGATGGTCCAGACCTTCCGCCGCAGGTGCTGGGTGCCTGCACATGGCACTGGCAATGCCAGGGCACGAAGGGCTGTGCAAAACCCAGTAAACTTCCCAGACTGAGGTGCCGCAGGCAGAGAGCGTGCCGGCACCGGTGATCGACCCCGAGGCGGCAGCAGCAGCATCGGCTGCCGCCCGAGCAGCAGCGGAAGCAGAGGATGAAGCACGGGTGCGGCGCATCCAGCAGAAGCGACAGGAGCATGCACAACGTAAGGGTGATGCGTAGGCTGAGCCAGAACTTGAACCTACTTCTTTGTTTGCTTCTGGCCGAATCAAAGCAAGGAGCGCAAAGCAGCACAAGAAGCTGAGAAAGCGGTTGCTGCAGCCAAGAAGGAGGAAGACAAGAAAAAGAAGCAGGACAAGAGCCTTAGACTTTGCATATGATGTTGCGGATTGGAGCATCCTGCATTCTGAAGTTGCAGGAACGTATCCAGAAGAAACGTGCTGTCAAGGAAGCCAAAGCTGCTAAAAAGGCAGCGCGAGCTGCTGCCGCCCAATCAGCGGCAGCTGCAGGCTGGGCCGGGGTGAAATGATACCTGCGGGCTTTGCATGGGGCACTGGCTCCCCGGCAGGTTCCAGCATTCTGAACCTGGGAGACGCGACTCCACCGGATGCGACCCTGCCAGATGCAGCCATGGCCTCGCCGCCGGATCATTCGCCAGTGGCCAGTCCGAAGACAGATGAGGCATTCCACGATTCCACGCCTCCTACGCTAGCAAGTCCTTGCAGCTTTCCGACAGGCTGCTGACAAGTCTCCTGATGACGAGCCTGCTCAGGACGGACCGTCATGATGCAGATTCAGTGTCGGCTTCTTTCTCGCTGTTTTTGTTCCAGGAGGGAAGCGAGAAACCAGTCGATTGCTCCTTCTTCTGATGGCGACGGCTTGGCCATAGCCACGGTGCTGGCCTTCTTGCATGCTTGAAATCTCTGCGGCTGGAAGAATCAGCGGCCTGTTTTCTCATCCTGTGCGTTGGCCTGTCATCGCACAGTCGCGGCATCGTATCATGCGAGGTTGCGTGATCTGCTGCCACTACCAGATGCTGCCGAATTCTGGATGTGCAAACAGGGGCGGGCATGAGCCGAGCTGTCAAGATCTCCGGGGAGCAGCGGGAAAGAAAGGCCAACTGACTGAAATCTGCATAAATACCAATCGATCCTCGTACTGGACTTGGGCTAAATTATTTCGTTTCTGTTTTCAAGAAGGATTGGTTGAGAGCTTCGCCCTGGAGCCCCCATTTGCGGCACTTATAAAACCATCGACCTCTAAGTGTTTGTTTGATTTCAAATGAAAAAATGAAAATGTTTGATTCCATGAATGCATGACGGACATGTACAAATCTTAATGCTAAATAGCGGCTGAGGGCTCATTCGGCCAGACATAATCGTGAAGAGGAGATGATGGACAAACTGCGCAAGCTTTGAGACTAAATGATCTGCGACACACTTAGAATATAATCCAATCTTCGAAGCGGAGATGATGGCTGCCCGAACTTTTTAGGGATGCAGCAATTTTTGGTTTTGAACCTCTTCTTCTGTAATTACCTCAACTCAAACATGCGGCGCACTGCGCAGCCTGCCCTCGCTGCACGTTGGTCTGGGGGCCAAGTGACCATGGGTCTTCATGATCGAGGTCGCCGAATCCGCGCAAGAACCGGCAAGCGTCGCACCCCCACATCTAGAAGCTGCTTCGAGCTCTGCTAGACAAAAAGTTCTGAACGTTGAAGAGTCTCTAGCTCTAGAACAGCTTCGTGAAGCACTGCCTGCAGTTTCCTACCTGTGACGACAGCAGATAAGTTTTGGTAGAAAACGAGGACGGCTTCCTGCTCTTGGACGCACCAATTTCAAGATCAGGATTTCACTGGTGGTCATCCTTGGCGGAAGTCCTCTTCAGGTTGCGCGATACCTTGTCGACACTGATTTACTGTTGTTCTCCGAAAGCAGGTGTGTGCAAGGGCGCATGCAAGAGGGTAAATTAGAAGCTGGAAGATCGTTCGAAGTCCGTACCCTGGCGTTGCCTGCGTTACAAAACAGTGTCGCGCTGACCATCTGATGGGAGGCCACCGGTTGAGTTTGCAGGCCATCGCAGGAGTTCGCTGATTGTTTACATCAAAGCTTCCCATATCACCAGACGATGTCAGTTTGGTGCTTGGGATTGATCGTCGTGCAATTCGAGCACTTTCTGAGAGCTTTCGCAGATGTTTCGTACCTTTGATCGAGCAGTTGAACGACAGTCTGGTTATTGGTGGTCTTGGTGCAGATGTTGAGCTTGATGAAGTCGCTTTTTCGATCGGTGGGACGCCCTGGAGGCATCACCTGGCTGGGGTGCCTTGCGGCCGCAAAGGTTCGAATTTGGCGTTGCTCGAACCTGCCGTGCCGCATTACGCCGGCCGGTCAAGGGGGAGGCGGTCCCATCTCCGTTCACGAAATGCGATCGGCCTTGCTCTTAGACTCGGACCCACCCATACTTGCAGTAGGTAGTGTCTGCAACACAGATGTTGCTAAGGCTTACAAGCGCTTGTCAAGCCCATTGCATAATGGAAGTGTGACGGAAGGCGATCTTTGCTTTTTCACACACACTTGTGTGAAGCATAAGCTGCCGCATCCTGAATTCTCTAAGAGAATGCAGCTTCGCGTGTGGGTAGGCGATAGGTTTGAGGAACAAGTTAGGGTGGGGGGCACACAGAAAGTTGATTGGTTTTTCGTTGCTCTCCGGAAAGTGGTTGGCAGAAACCCTTTCAACACTGTGGGAAGCTCTGACGACAAAGGCCCCCGCATGGAAGACATCAAGCGCTTGCACCTCCGTCTTTTCCAATTTAACCAGTGGTTTGGCGGACAAGAGACACAGGCAGCGTGACGTGGGCAAACATGTCTGCCTTTAAGCCACCTTTTGTTCCTGCGCAAAAAGCCGAAGTTGCAAACTTTTCCCCTGTGCAGCCTGAGGAGGTTGCCGGCAACAGCCCAGTCCGCTTTCTGGAGTGAAAAAGAGAGACGAAGGGGTCTGTTGCGCTGAAGCTGTGTCAGAAGTTGTTTGGCTAAAGTGCAAGGTTGGAAGGTCTGCTATTTTAGACGAGGTTAGGCTAAAGTGAAAGGTTGGTAGGTACAGATTGGAATTGAGAAGGCTTGGGTAAACAGACTTTCGATTAGGAAGAAAGGAGAAAGCCTTTCAAGGCTTCTGGAGGCTGGCAAAGTGAAAGCAGCTGACGTGGCTTTGCTGTTGCTGGTCCCGAAGTGAAAGCAGCAGACGTGGTTTTGTTGTGTCTGGACCCAATGTGAAAGTAACATATGTGGTTTTGCTGTGTCTGGACTCGAAGTGAAACCAGCAGACGGTCTTTTGCTATGTCTGTCCCCACAGTGAAAACAGCCGACGTGGTTATGCTGCTTCTGGAGGTTTGGCAAGGGTTTAGGGTTCATGCAGGGTTTAGGGCCGCAGGGAAAGCAGCGTCTACCAATAGACGAAGCGTTTCCCGCGGTAGAAAAACTGGACATGGAGCCTCCGACCCCACACGCTGCAGGAAATGCGGCGTGCTTGAATAGGCGCGGCATTTCCCGCGGTAGCAAAGCTGGACATGGAGGCTCCGACCCCGTTCGCCGCAGTAAATGTGGCGTCTCTTATGTAATGGTCGCGGCGTTTTGCGCGGCCTCCGACCCTGTACGCCGCAGGAAATGCGGCGTCTTTTAATAGGCGTGGCGTTTCCCGCGGTAGAAATCTAAGCTGGACATGGAGCCTCCGACCCCGTTCGCCGCAGGAAATGCGGCGCGTTTTAATAGTTGTGGCGTTTCCCGCGGTAGAAAAGCCAGAGCGTCTTGTAATAAAATAGGCGCGGCGTTTCCCGCGGTAGAAAGCTGGACATGGACCCTCCGAATCCGTTTGTGGCAGGATTGCGGCGTCTTTTAATAAGCGCGGCGTTTCGCGAGGCCTCCGATCCCGTATGCCGCAGGAAATGCGGCGATTTTGAACAGGCGCCGCATTTCTCGTGGTAGACAAGAAATGCAGCTTCTTTGATTAGGCGCGGCGTTCCGCGCGGTCTCCGGGCCGGTATACGGCGCAGGAAATGCGGCGTCTTGTAATAGGCGGAGCGTTTCCCGCGGTAGAAAAGCTGGACATGGAGGCTCCGACCCAACCCCGTTCGTCGCAGGAATGCGACGTGCTTTAATCGGCGCGGCGTTTCGAGCAGTAGAAAGGCTAGAAAATGGTTTCTGTGCACCACTAATTTTATTTTTGAATGAAGTTAACTATTTTTCTGTGCAAAATGTCGCGCCGGGCAATATAATAGATTCATATTCAATAGAAGATATATAGTGAATATCTATTTAAATTATAGCGAATATCTATGCAAATATATTTTTCGAGATTTTACAAAATTAGTCGGAGCTAAGAGAAAATTAATTAAATATCAAGAAAAGAATTTGTTCTTTGAGATATCTTATATTTATGATTAATATAAGATGGATGTAGATATATATTTTTTTAATGGAGAATATTTTTTTTATTGGATTCATAGTAATTTTTTCTTGTATATATTGATTAGCTTTAGAATAGTATGTTCGTAGATTAATGGGAGAAAAAAAAATTTGAGAATATAAATAGAAAAATTATAAAAATATATTATAACTGTAAACTTAAGATAAGGAATTCTTATATTTTTTTTTTGGGCGTAGAATTATACTCTGCGAATATCGTTTTCTGAGCATTCGAATGAAGATTTTGAATGGGTTCTTGATTTATAATATAAGCGTTATTGTTGGTATCTTATATTATTAATTTTGATTTTCGACGATATTCTGCCGATATTATATATATATTCAAATTATCTATATTTAATATAATTGATTTGGGAATTGGAGACCAAGATTCTGGGATTGTATTAGCTTCTTCTTTCAGATCGGGCCTATATATTGAAGATATATATAGATTGATGATCGTGCTATTTATTTCGAATATATGAGAATCGGATTATACCGGCGCTTGGATCCGAAGATTCTGAATTTAATTGAGAATTATGAAATATTTCGAGAGATATTATGTTTGAAATAAATTATTCTATATTTAATTGAGAATTCATACAATCTATGAAGATATATTATAATTATTTAAGAATAACAATTATCTCTCGATAGATTGATGATCGTACTAGTCGTGTCGAAAATATGAGAATTGTATTAAGACCGACGCTTGAAATCTAAGATCTTGTGCTTGGCGCTGAGAATAATTGACGCGTTTGTAGAGATATGATATTTTTAATAGAATAGTCTGAATTTGGCTAGCGGATCATGAAATCCTCGTACGGAGATTATGAAATTTTTCAATAATAAGAATTAGTTTGAGAATATATGTATATATATTTTATATAAGAGTTTCATGAAGATGGAAATTCATATAAATCATTGAAATAAGGTCAGATCTTGCTAGATATAGATTCGAGATATTTTAAATTAATATCTCCGCCTTGGTCGTCGATTATATTATATTATATTCGTCTAATTATCTACGATATATTAAATAATTGGCGTAATTACGTCTGCCTCAATATTCGTATGCAGATTATTCCTCCAATTCGTGTCCATGTGCCCACGGAAATAAGCAGATTATTGATCGTTTCCATATTGACGGATAATTTTAAATAGATTTTTGTCCGGAATATATTTTTCAATGAAATCGTACGATATTAAGCAGTTGCGAAAGAATTAAAGTAAATTTAATATAATCATCTTTAGTAGCGGTTTTTCTCTAATATTCCAATTATTATGGGCGAAAGAATATCGCTAAAGGCTAGCGTGAACTAAGTATATATTTAAAGAGAATTTCGTGGAGTGACGAATGAAAGATAGAGCGGAATATAACGAGAGAAACGAAAACGAAGAGAATTAAGACG